TTATTTTCAGTTTTTCACCCATTAATTATATTACCAAGCCCAATTTTAGATGTAAATAATTCAACCTTTTAACAAATTATTCGACTTCATTTATTTCAAACTTGGGTTTTAATAATTTGCAAATTTAAATTGATTTCGAACACAAATAAAAACCCGTTTAACTTAATAAGTCGAGCTCTAAAATTCAATGTTCGACTCGACTCGTTCGAAAGCTCAATTCAATTATATGAGTCACGTTGAGCCAAGTTATTCGAGCATACTTTTTTTTTGAGCTAAACATATTTTATGTTTATAAACTACATAATCAAGATATAAAAATCCTTGAGCTTGAGCAGAGAATGAGTTCATTTATCTTGATTTTGAGCTCAAGCTCAAACATTGAAAAAATATTCGAGGTCAAGGCTGACTTTGAAAAAGTTATTTGAGGTCGAGTCTGATAATATTTTTTTCGAGCCGATCTCAAGTAACCTGCTACTCGACTCGGCTCGTTTAAACCTCAATACCAACCTATGGGGGTTCCATGTATTCTTACATAGTATCAGAGACAATGTTTGTCACTCTAGGGACAACGATACTTTGGCTAGCCCCATCTTGGCGCTCTGGGACAATTTGTGTTCATCTAGCCTCCATTGGTGAGGGCGTGTTAGAGTCTTACATCGGTTAAGCTTGTATCCTTTATCATGTATATATGATGTAATCTCCCCTTTCTCTTCAAGGGCTCTTTTGAAGAGTGATATGGGGTTCTACGTATACTCTCATGGTATCAGAGTCAAAAGTATGTCACTATAGGGACTTGACACTCTGGCTAACCCCCTCTCGACACCCTACAACAATTTGTGTCCATCTAGCCTCCATTGAAGGGGGCGTGTTGGAGTCTCACATCGGGTAGACTTAGATCATTTTTTTTCTATATATATATATATATATATATATATATATATATATATATGTTGGAATTTCTCATTTATTCTCAAGTCTCTTTTGGAGAGTGATATGGGATTCCACATATTCTTATATAGTATCAGAGCCAATATTTACCACTCTAGGGACTCAACACTCTAGCTAGCCCCCTTTGACACACTAGGATAATTTGTGTTCATCTAGCCCCCGTTGGAGAGGGCGTGTTGCAGTCCCACATATCGAATTTGGACCATTTCTCTTGTATATATGTTGGAACCTCACATATGGAGATTCTACATATTCTTACACGACCCACTGAACTCATCTTTTAAGCCTTAACAATTTTGATAAAATATGACCATAAAGATTGAAATATAAATTTTGTGTTAGAGATAACGTGTACCTCAATATATAACATAACTTGTTTCTTAAAACTACAACATAATTATCATTTTTGCTGTCAATTTAGACCTCATCATTTTCTTTGCCATCATCTATTTTACCCTTTACTCAAGATAACATCATAAGTTAGTTAATACCTTTGAGGGGTTCTATCTTTTTTCATGAAAAAACATATTTCAAATTTATAAATATTTAAAACATGGTATTCGAGATACCGATTGGCTTTTATCAGACCACGTAAGTTACCATATTGATCGTGCATACGCCATGCACTATATATCATTTGAAATTTGTTCACAATAAAAATATCATGCATGCTATCACTAGAGGTAAGCATCTGACCTACCAAACCACATAAACTACACACAACACCGATTGACATTGAACTCCACGATGCAATTTTACGGTTTTAAATAATGAAACCATAGTTCAAATCACACCCTATCCACCATTGGTAGGTAAAAACAACAAATGGGTCGTTTACTAAATGCTTACCGGTAAATGCTTACTAGATAATTTTTCTTACCGGATGAACATGGCAAAGGTAAAAAATCTTACCTGGTAAGAGCAATGATAAAGATGAAGACTCGGTAAATGAGAATGACGACTCTTACTCGGGTAAGTGCTTACTGGGTAAATTGTTGCATACAATACCATTTTGATGTACTACAATCTTACCCGATAAAATAAATTATAATGTTAACTCCTAGCGCTAAGTTCTTACCGTTAGGGGTGCTAAAAAACTCGACCAATCTGATCAATCCACCCAACTCAATGAGAAATAACTCAACCCGAAACAACCCTATATCTAATCAAGTTGTAGAATTTTCAAACTGTAAGTATGGGTAGATATTGAGTAACTATTATTTGAACTCAACCCACCCCGATGAACCCGATATCATTTTATTTCTTGAATTTAATATGATTGTTGAGTTTATATTAATATATACATTACACACTATCACATACGTTCTTCATATATACATATTTTCAGTCTATTCTACATCTCTATCTAACTCATTCATATATATGTTTAACAACTGTAAACATATATATGTAAATTGAGAAAATTAATTGAATATGATATACGTAAAAAGTATAGATAAGTTGTATCAAATGGTTGGTGATAAAAAAATTATGAGTAGAGAAATATTCAAGGTTAGAAGAATATTTTAATGTAGCAAAAAATCAACCTGCCCAATCCGACTAACCCGATCAACCCGCATGGTTTGGGTTAGGTTGGGTTGGGTTAAAACTTTTCAAACCACAAGTATTGGATTGGGTTGTTCAAATGTCTTCAACCAAATCAACCCAACTCATGAACATCCCTACTTACCATACAAACATTTAGTTAAACGGTCCCTATTATGATGTAAGTTTTTATTGAAAAAACCACATATACATCTTGATTTGAAACAATAAAAATTAGAAAGATATTATATATTTTGCAATGTCCATTTTTATTCCGCCGCCTCCCGCCCACTCCGCCAGTCCGCCACCACCTTACAACTACGGTGTTTGGGCTAAGAAATAACCGGTCTTGGTTTGGGCTACCAGTTGGGCTAGAAAATATCTATAAATCCTAACCCGTTAAACCGCGAACAAACCCGGGATCTCATTTCGGGCTGCCAACCTGCAACCGCCGACGACGGAAAATTACCCGGCGATCAATGTTTGATCGGTAAAGATGGCAGGATTACTAGCATGTGCGACGGAACTATTCAATGTGAGAAAGGAAAAAGATAACATGGCGACCGGCAGAGGGAGAAAGGAGAGCAGGTGGTGGCCAACCAGTGAGGAAGACGAGTCTGATTCGATCCATTAATAATTAATCCTCTGAAGGAGAAACAGGTTATGGAGTTGCAACAAGAGGCGCCGTAGATGAACCGGTCCCTACATGACTTACATCAGAGAATACTTCCAAATGACATCTAATCCTCGCCTAGCCCTCCCATTCAACGGTCACTCTTTCACCAAACTACAGAGGTCACTCTCCATGTAGGTATTGGATGCTTTTCAATACGATGATCTTACACTTGAGTCATCACAGTTAGAATTGGACCAATTTTAATTTGAATTTTAAAGTAAATCAACTGCATTATGGTCGTAACTTGAGTTCTAAAGCTATATGCAGAATTTGGGGATTAATTTGGATACCTCATCTGCTTCAAGATCATTATGAATTCGAAATTCATGGAGGAGAATTTGATAAACAAGCAAGTAGAATTGTAACTTGAGTTCTAGAACTATATGTAGAATTAGCCTTACTATTTTAATTAGAATTGTAAAGTATATCAACTCCAGTATTGTTGTAAGTTGAGTTCTAAAACTATATGTAGAATTATCCTTACTATTACTCCATCCTTTCAGTGAGTATCTACAGTTTGAATTCGGGGAATAATTTGGATAGTCTCCTCACTCCTGCTTCAAACTTATTGTGGATTCGAAATTTATGGAGGGGAATTTGATAAACAAGCACTGCAAGAGCAGAGAGAGGTTGGTGGCTAGTCTCTAAATTGGTAAAAAAATCCATATTGATTTCACAGTCCCCACAGTGTTTGATTGCAAAAATGTACTTTTTTCAGGGACCAAGGGAGTAAAGAGTAATCAAATCTGTAGAGGCAATTGCTGCTGGAAATAGGCACATCGAGAGCAACCTTGGAAAAGAACATATTTTCTGAGTATATTATTGATCCTGGCTACTAGCCCACAAGTGCATGAACAGAAGCAATGCTGATCAGATTGGCTTTAGTGCTCTGTGTTCTGGTTCTGCAAATATCGGTAAATATATCAAGGCATCATTACCTATTTTTTGATCTCTTACAGTTTGTCTTTGTGTTATGCAGTTTTAAACTATGCAAATATTTTTTCTGACAGTTCTTTTAGACGTAATCTCTGTACTCCTGTATGTTGCCCTGTAATTTCTATCACCAACCGACACTTGCTGTTTCTTCCTTTCTCTTTTTCCTTTTAATGTTTCATAAAGAATGATTGTTGTAATGGTAGGTCCAGATCACAGCTCACGGAAAAAAAAAAAAGACAAAAACATACCCTTTGTGTGGAAGTTTATATGGTGCTCCAGTTCTTCTGAAATCTTACATAATTTGCCATGGTAGATAAAACTAAATTTCTCTAATAACATGAGTGGCTCCTTCTCATAAACAAGTTTTCAGTAGCTTAAAGAATTGGCATCTGATCTCGTTTGACATTTTCTGCCTTTCATGGTTTCTGAATTTTGGCTTCGATGCCTTGACATAACCGGGAGTTTACAAGGGCCAAGTAGTTCTATAAGTTATATACTTGTTCAGCTTTGATACACTGACATAGCGAGGAATCTGCAATGTCAAGATAGTGTTGTAGTTCACGATGACCCTCCATGTTATCATGGGAAAACTTTGGATGCCTTCAGAAAAAGGTGTAGATCCCACAACTGATTAGTGACCCCCACTTTTAAAAGAATTAGCTAGGAATGAAATTAAAAAAACAAATTAATTGTCTACCTCATGATGTAATCTGTCCTGAGCCTCTTGAATTGTCAAAATACCTTTTGGGGCACCACCGTGACAGCATAGACTGACTTTTAACAATGGGAGGAATATTATGGGACATTGCACTTAATTTCTTTTACAGATTAATGGCCAAATCTTTATGCATTCTGTGCAAGTATAGTTGTATATTTATAATTGTTCTCTAGTACATGAGGAGTAGATGGTAATTATATAAGCACACTTCAAATCTTGCTTAAACATATGGGCTAGATACAAATTCTAAAATACTGTAATTACATCTTTAAATCAAAACGTCGCATCTTCTGAGATGCTTATACGAAATTCATCTGAGGTTCAGTTTCGTGGTGTTCCTCTGAGGTGCTCTCTCAATAAAGCCTTCTCCTTCCATCTTTAACATTTCTAGCAAGAACTCGTTCCACGTATCCACAGGGCCTGGCATGCACCAATGAACACAGTCTGGGAAGCTTTTATTGTCACTGGCTGGATGCCCATAATGGTTTGGATGTCCATCTGGTCTCATGATCATAGCATCGCTAGTGTCCAGGAGCCTAAGCTTCAATCCTTTCTTTTCTCCTTCTTTCTGTGCCGCCTTGAACTCATTTACTTGAGTAGAATACATCTGTAACTTATACCCGTCCAATCTCATCTCTTGCTTCATGAAAGGTCTCGTTCTCACACAATTCCCTCCATTATTATAATCTCCGTTCTCAAAATGTTGTGGTGAAAATGTCCTTAGGAATGCTAATCCTGTAAAGTTGTGGAGGTTTAGGAGGGTGGTAAAGATTGTTCTGTATGCCATCTGGTATGCATAGTAAACTGTTAGGTCTGTAATGTTTTCTTGATTGCAGAAATGACAACCCACTATTTCGCCCTTCTCATAGTACATGAATGGTCGAAAAAACCACTGTCCGGCTGAGAATATGACAATATCTAGGTTTTCTATCTGAGATGTCCACGCGTCATCGGCCTCATCCAAATAGAGGTTCATTATGCTGTTGCGGGTGAAATTGCCGGGATTTGAATCTCTAGTTCTGACCAACAGAGGAGACCAGATCGCTACCAGCGTAAAATTGTAGGTCGGAAAGGTCCATCGCCTGAATCTTGTATCGTTGGTATACGAAACATCAATGGGATAAGCTTCCTGTTAATCAGTAGTGTTAGGCCTAGAAAATTATACAAAGAAATCTCTTTCATGCATGATTTCATTATATTTCTTTTCTTGTAATGGTATCTTAATTTTTTTGGCATATTTCTTCTAACCTACTCTTAGAGCCTGTTTCTTATCAGCTTAACGAGCTTAATGAGACTCACAACTTATTCAGCCAACTGTAGATGACTGTTTGGTAGTAGCTTAATGATATATAGAATGACTTATTCAGTAAGCTTCTAGTGGGACCTTTATACAGAAAACCAAGTTTTTTTTTAAACCAGTCCCTCCCAATTAAAAAACAATGACAAAACTTTCAAACAAAAACCTTCCCTATCTATATAGACAGATTAATCCAGACAAACATCTTTATCCATAAAGGAAACATCCCCTATTTGTTAAATCCATCTGTTTGTTTTTTTACTAGAAACAAGAGACGTTAGTCTGCCGTACTAACTATTCACCTTTTCTTGTCATTTTCTCTTTGCATGAATACTTTTTCTTTCTGTTTTTTTCCTCTCAGGTTTATTACACGAAAGCATCCAACTGTAAGTTGTAACTTATTATGCAATTGTCCACACCACACACACGTACTGCAAATAATGAATGCTATTTAATTCATGAAAGTTTCTACTCTGCCCCCATCTATTTTTTGTAGCACTAAAGACCCATTCAAATATTAAAACGGATACTTCATCCTCCCAACTACCGGAACCCACATTAAGTTTGGCTTTTTCGTATAATTATAATTTAATTATTCACATAATAATTGATAATTAACACTATTCATTATGCTGTTTGTTGTCATTACCTTTTCAATTTCTGTTCACACGTCTCTCTCTTATCTGTGAATGGCTCTTACGTGTGTTGATACGTCTCTCTTATGCTTTCTAAATAATCCCCACATGTGGTGGGTATATATATGTATATATATATATACACACACAATTATACATAATACAGAAAATAGTAGTCATTAAATGGTGTTTAAGAATGCTGTCTAGCACACTAAATCTATATGCCCACCTCTTCTTTCATAACTATTGGTCATGTAAGATATCTCAAATCTATTACCTCTCTCAAGTACATACATACATGTTACATATGTACATATATATATATATATACATCTGTGTATGTATGCAGGTATGTATAGATTCTTTATTTTTAGTTTATCTTGGTTGTAGCTCAGATATTTTTTAGCCTCAGAAGCAGGATCATCAAGTGAATGGTCTTGATACTTCTTTCAAATAGACAAAATGCTAGATAACAAGAATATTACTTATCAGTGTACCACCACTAGCTTTTGCTTTCAAAGTAAAATAATTTGCCCCACCATTACAACTGTATAAAGCAATGTCTATTTGTCATTTTATATATAAATATACACTCTGTGTGTGTGTATTTGCATACATACATGTAAATGTATTTATCTTTAATAATTTCAAGTATTATATTTCATTAAACCACAATTTTTTGAATGATAAACAAGTTATGCATGCGGATGAATTAGATTTTCTTATTCTACTATGAATTGGGGTTTACTTTGAAGACTTACACTAGCTAACATGCAGACCAATGATTGCATTTGGTTTCTTCCCACGGAGTCTCCGACAAAGGCCAAGCTTTTCCCTCTGACAACCTCCAAGAACTCGACCGCATCAAATTCAGGTAACTCACAGTCATTAGGCTTCCATCTCCACTTCATGAAATCGGTATCTGGTCTTCCATACTTCATACAATTTTGTCGATCATCAATAACACATTTCGTGTCATTTGTATAATACGTTTCCTTCTTATCATCAAACACCCAACTCCCTTGAAACACGTTACACTTGATATCTTCTTCGGCCGCCGGTGTGGCTGGACCAATCAACCTGAGGCCGGAAAAGTTACCAAGGTAGAGATGGATTGTGATTAGGAGGGTTAAGGTTATGATTGGAAGGATGAAGTGTTTGGTGGTGATGGGTGGTTTATGGAGGTTCCCATTGGTGGTGGGAAGCTGAATTGGATTGGCCTTCATTGGCTAAAAACTTGAAATAGATGAGGATTGAGTTTGAAGGGCTTTATATACACACTCAAAGTGTTGATGGTGACAAATATTAGCAAATCATTACCCTCTAAATTTAAGAATTAAAATTAAAATTAAAATTAAAATAAACATTATTTTTAAAATGATTAATATTCAAGAGACCTCTTATATGAGCTGGCTACCAAATCATTACTCCTTTATGGACAAACTTAGAGAATAATCTTGTTTTCATCTTTTCCCCACCACAAGATGATACCAAAAACTTAAAAGGAAAAGTGGATTAACCTGTAGTTCTTGGAGTAGGGTTAATGTAGTAATTTTGCATAATAGTTACGTATATAGAGAGAAATATAGATATTTGATATAAGATGGTTTCAAATACAAATCATGTATTAGAAAAAATCAAGATATTTACGAATTAGGCTGTTCCTAGAGCAGGGTTAATGTAGTAATTTTACATTATATATATATATAAGTTGTGTATTGGACGACACAAGTCATAGGAGACATAGCATCTGGAAGAACAACTACCAACTACTAACCCTCACATGGTGAACACAGTTTATACCTCGACATATGTTCTTGCCAGAGTTAAATGGTTGTTTTCATGTGGGCTATTGCATCAAGGCATTGTACTCTGTGCATTTAAGGACCATGCTACCCTTTTTTAGGATTTTAAACACCCAAATACAAATAACCAATTTATATTTTTATATCGTTTATAAATAAATTTAATTTATTGTTTTTTTATGGATAAATACTTATATCAAGTGACAGGTAGACATGGAGAGTTGCTTGCATACAAAAATTAAGGAAAGAATCTTTGGCTTTCGAAGTGCATAATTTTACACAGTCTCCTTATTTGACAGATTTAATGATTTGTATAAATCAGTTTTCATGTGTTATTTTAAATATGAAATAACACGTGTGAAAATACAGTGTTGGAATTTTCAGGACTGTTTTTTTCCACATACAAAACAGTCCTAAACGTTTGACATATGAAACAACTGTATTGTTTACATATATTGTTTCATATATGAAATACATGAAAACTGGTTTATAAGTTTATAAATGATTATACCTTTTTTGTATTATTAAGGTGTCGTCGATAATCGTAAGGTCAATCATGGCGATGGTTTGGCGTATGAGTTGAAGTTACCCATGTTCCCTTTAGGCAAATCATTCCCTTTGGCCAAAGCTTCATCGTGTTTCAAAATATATGACCCACCTCACTTGAGTTTATTAATTCCTCGGTTTAAATTTCTTTATTTTATTCATTTAATTTGAGAAAATTTGTGTAGGTTCTGTTTGTTTGATTATATTGTTATATTTACCCATAAAATATATGGATTTTCAAAAAAATGAAAATAAATATAAACCTCATAAAATTGAAAATTGCATAAATGACAAGCATTTGTGTTTTCATTATGTGATCGTAAATGAACAATGGAAGCGAGTTAAAGAGCAAAATAGGTAAATTTAATCTTCATTATTAACTGTAAGGTTAATTAGAGAGAACCCACAAATGATGTGAGTTCATATTGATGGATGAATCCCAAGAACGATATTGTAGGTGATTGAGTACAGACTCCAAGTAGAACTTTTAATGATATTGAAAATTTTCATGTAATGAAGTGCACATTCTATTGTTGTAATGAGTAAAAAATTTGTAATTATACAAAAAAATCCTCCCAAGTGAACGTCCCCACTGGTGTAATATCCATCTGTCTAAGGTTCGATTCCAGACGTACACAACATTGGTGGTGGTCATTGAGTTTATCATAGTTGATTTTTTACAGTCAAAATTTGTTGGGATTAGTTTAAATATAGCCTAAGACATCCTTCGAGGAAAAAAAATTATGCCAAGCAATAGCCAAATAGCATCATAGAACTCAACCACCAAGTGTCTATCACGGGGTCACATCTAGGGGAGGACCGGACCTATATTTATAGTCATACAGTGGTACCGGTCATTAATTCATGCTCTGTCACAGTGGGAAAAAATTATGTTTTTAAAGGATGTCATTGTTATGTGTCCGTATGATTTTTTAAAACTACATGTATGATGAAAATTTAAGTGAGCTGAGTTGGTTTATGGAACATGATTAAAGACTTACTTTCAGGGTTCAAATATTGTTTTATATGACAAGGTACGATCGTTATGTCTTTAACTCTTTATTTATGGATAAGTTTTTAAACCTTATTTATTTTTACTCTTTAGTAATTACTTAAATATGTATTTTGTAATGCACCAAGATACATTTTGATTTTAAAGTTGAGAGTTCGAATCTTCAATTATGATTTATATTTCGTTTCATTCTTTGTCCTTCTTGAATTTATTTTTATGGTTTTATGTGGTTTCGAGATAGCAAGAGTTTCAGCTGGTTAAGTATTCTGCAGTATTAATAGGCCTTAATGCGTATCTTGCATTTGAATGCGTTTATCAATTATTTTTCGGAGTTTAAATGTGGAGCTTAAAAAGTCAAACGCGTGCAACAATAAGTTGTAAACACTAATATAAATATACTTCCATATGCACACTACAACAAGATTGGATTATATGACGCCATTAATTTTTTAACGTCTTAATAAACTGCTTTATAAAACTTAACTTATTGGACCAAAAAGTAAAACATTTTATAGGAGATTTTTAAGAAAGCATCCTATAAAACATTTCCGTATCTGCTTTATAAAACATTTTGTAATAAGTTCATATGACGCTTTTGGGCCTCTTAACAAGTTTTTTAAGACACTCTTAATACAAAACGTCATATTAGCTATTTTATAGGAGACTTTTGAGAAAGCGTCTTATAAACTAATCTTTTTTATAGAATACTTGTTTTTTGTAGAACATTTTTTCAAATAATGTCCTATAAAATAACTAATACGACGTTTTCTCCATAAAAATGTCTTAAAAAACTTGTTACGATAGCCCAAAAATGTTCTATAAAACTTATTACAATGTCTTTAAATGAAATGTTTTATGTTTCAATCCTATAAATTAAGTCTTATAAAGCGGTTCATTAAGACATTTAGAAATTTTTAATGTTTTATAAATCAAATTTTATTATAAATTGTAATAAGTTTGAGATACAATGAAAAAACTAAAATGATATACATATATATACACACATATATATATAAACACACACATATATATAATATATAAATATTAAATTAGAGAATATTTAAATTACTCGTCCACAAATACGAAGTCTTTTTCATATCTTATCGGTGAACGTTAACTAAGACATCGTTTTCATGTAATTATTGTATGTTATCGATGATAGCAAATTTTTATCAAGGGTGTGTCGGTCACTCTTTCAGCTTTTGCAACATGTCCTTTTTTAATCTCTATTAATAATAATATATTAATCCATTTAAATATGTTTTATTAGGTGGAACTTGGAAGTGGAACAAATCCTTTTCATACATCATTTGATATAGAAATATTCCTACACATCATTTACTTAAGCTGTATTTATTTGAATCACAATATTTTTAGACATAATTTCAAACTTTAAATCATCCATTTCTTTCAAATATTATATATATATATATATATATATATATTTACATATATAATAATTGGAGTCCATATGTTTTATTTTTTGTATTTAAATGTATTTAAAGAAAAAGGTAAATAAATCCATATCTTATGCTCTTATTTTCTGTGTTTAATAGTAATTAAAAAAAATACAAAACTGATAACTTTTTGAAAGGTCAAAAAATAAATAAATAAAAAGAAGAACATCTCTTTAGAAAAAGAAACCTGGAGCAGGGGGATGGTTGGTTTAAAACTTTAAATATTAAACAATGTTAACATATGGGGGATGTTGTTTAATAAGGCATTTAAAACAAGTCTTACACAAATATGGCATTAATTATGTTAATTCATGCAAACAACATATAATATAATATACATAACGCATTTAATACCTCGTTAGTATCAAACCAACTAAACATGTTGTTATACTAACAACTTCGATATGATATTTTTTGGGTAATCATAGATTTTCAGGTTAACTTACGCACACCGACTAATCATCAGACGACCATAAATGAACAGTCATCGGCTCATCACAGGTGAACCTCCATGATCACAAGAGTTTTGAAAGTCTTAAGATAAGATGGATGAGATTTTTCCATTATGGATATTTATTTTGGGCCGGAAGAAGTATTATTTTTGTTGATATAATAAATTAATAAATTCATAATAAGTTTATCTCATATAAAAGATGCCACATGGAACAAACTACAAAAGCTGGTGTGTAATTTAATACCATATTTAGAGGCTTCTTGTAATTTTGAATTTGAAGGCTTTAAGAGTTGAGTCTATGCAGCCAAGCCATTCAAACCCTAACAATCTAATAGTTCCATTAAGAGGCAATATCTGAATCGTTAAGAAGTGAATCTTGTTTGACAAAAAAAAGTCTGCTTCTTAATGGTTCTAAAATCCTCTAAATGATTTTGTATCATGGATCTCCCTTAACCATTAAGAGCCCTGATTCATTATACACAATTACTAAACAATTATATTTCATTTTACATTATATCATGAGAGCCTTTTAATCATTCTGACCACTTAATCATCCTCCATCAAACCATTCAACAATTGCCAAACAGCCTCTAAACCGTAGAGCCTTGGCTGAAGCCACAAACCAAAGCTAAGCCTAAAGCTTTTTCACAAAACTAGCCTCTTGCTGGGTTGGGTTCATAAACACCTAACACTTTCTGGGCCTATTTATTTCAATCACAACAATCCCAGATGATAGAACTGAAGTAGGCAACTATAAAATGCTCTATAGATAACAATTATCATATCCAATGTAACACTACTATTATTACTAAAAGGGATCCAAAAGAAATTTGAACAGTAACCATTCATAAAATTTAACGGACATACCGCATACGAAGATCCTTGCACTGGACACATACCCACGGAATTTGTGGAGGATCCAGGCAATACGAATGAACACAGCGAAGCTCACAACTATGGCATTTTATTAGAAGTTCCTCCGGTTCACGGCAACAGCATTGGTAGCAAACCGGTGTCGCCACAGGCTGTTCAACCCAAAAACCACCAAAATACATTTATGAACATGACCTAATATGACCCATAAACAAAACTCATGAATAAATGCAAACAAGCTGCATAAGTTAATGCATATAGAGGAAGCTGGCATGACCTTATAACATTCAAGCACCTAGAAGACTGATACCATGAAGAATGTGAAATTCGCATACTAGTGCCCTTACAAGTGTAGGTCAAATCCATGGTCCACAAGAGGATAGCTTACAGCACATAAGGATTTCTTGGGAACTACTAGAATTAGATAGGTTGGTTTTATGTATAGTACATGAAAAATATCTGGTACATTATATGGACATAGCATGTCTTGTCTCCATAAATCATTTGATAACAAATCAGGATCATGGAGGACTTTATAATATATGAACTAATAGCAAGCAGTCGAGCACAATAAGAGGGTACCAAGTATAACTAGTTAATTGTAAGGACAGAGATTTACCAAAGTCTGAAGTGTGGATGTTTCACATTGTGGAAGAATGTATACATCCGTGGCCGAAGTGTCGTTGGGAAACGTTTGTGAGTATATTTTCTGATCAGAAGATACAGCATCCTCCATCTTCTGTATGCTATAAAAACTGGCCTTGCACAAAGGACATGTAGAAACCTTTTTCATAGAAGCCTGTAAGTAACATAACATAGATATATTATACCGAATATATAAAGTTATAATAACAGTAGTTCTTGTAATCTAAGAATCTGTCAGGTGTCACCATGCTTGTGTTTGCATAATATGCTTTTAACTAAGCGATAAAATTAGTTATGTATGTAAAAGGTAGTAAGCATAAAATGATACCATATGATCTGCCCAATTCTGTATGCATGAAAAACAAAAGCGATGTCCACATGGCAGAACCCCTCTAGTTGAACTAAAATCTGTCCAACATATAACGCATGACAAGTGCAGTGCTGTAGACAATCTGGGATTATACTCCTTTTCATTAGAGTCATCATCAACTTCTGCAGAATTATCTAGAGAATTCCTGCCTAAGGAAGTCGAGATGCCATTAGTACATGTTGGATCATGACAATTAGAAGTTCCCAAATCTTCATTCTTTTCAAGATCCTCCAAGATCAAAGTTTTTCTTTTGGCATGATCATGAAGCCTGGTTTTGTAAGGCCTTCTGCTTTCATGCCTCCCAGAATATTTGGAAGGCTCACTAATATCGACAAAATTGTGGTGAAATTCTGTACGTTGGAAATCTTCCTCTGAATCTGAAGAAGAATTCACCTCATTACATATATTCTTATGCATTAGCTTACGACTTCCTCGGGAGGATTCAGATATGCTGTTGCTTCTCCTTTTATTATTCACTGGATCTGAAGAGGAAGGACAATTTAGGTCCTTGGTCTGTAAGAAATGGAAACAGGGTAAAACTTTAGAAAGAGCTACAATAATTTCATCAAATTTTGTACATAGCCAAAATTTCCAAGGACAATATATATTAATAAAACAATGTACTAGAAATAAGTTCTCATCCCAAGTTTGTCTCCTGTGGGCTTTGATCGAGTCAAAAATACCATTGGATGTCTGATGCACCTACTAGGTACACAATCTGCATTCATACTGTAATGTGTTTTGAAGTACCAATGGAATCAAAGTTTGTTCATGTCCTCTAACTTAACTCCTGAAAGCTAAACGTGTATCACAGATCCAAACAACACTATTATGGAGCATGGTTATTGGGTTAGTTATAGTTGAAGGTGAAACCATGACTTGGACTATTGAACGTCGTGGCTATAAGAAGTTAAGAACCATAAGATCATAACTAATATACGCCAATTTCTTTACCTCTATTCTTCTAAAGCCAAATGAGGCAGAGTCGTCTAAATAGTATCCATTTGTGAGCGAGACATCTTGCCTCGAGTGTCTTTTAGTGCCTTTTTTCTTCAATCTGTGATCCTTGTTTCGTCTTACATCAGGAAGCAGATTCTACATTAAAAATAGCATGAAGAAAAATCAGTGTTCATTAAGTTGTTCCAAAAAAGATCCAAGCAACACATCGGGACCAACTTCAAAACAGTTTTAAACTTACGAACAGCCATGACCTGGCAACCAGTAAATGGAAAGAACAGGACACCTACTAAATTATGATGCAAGGCAATGAAAAGAACAGTAAACCTACTGAATTATGATGAAAGAAGATGAAAAGAACAGTGCACCTAATCATCTGGTGACTAGTACAAACATTAGTAGTTCGTATGGTAGAGACTAGAGAGCAAGATTTGTGCAGATATAATGTATGGTATGTCATGGATATATATTGAAACTGGCTATAATATACATTATTCAGATAGGCATCAGCTTCATTTTTTTTGCTATAGGCAATTATATATACTATGCAGATAGAATATCATTAATTAGTTTCCAGAAAAAGAACATATCCTTCACTCTTACTAGTTCTAACAGAAAACTTTCATGCAATAGACAAATTACAATTTTTAACAAACAAAATACAGAAGATCTAATAAGAGAAGCAGTTTGGCTCCTGCTAAACATGAATTGAGTTCCGTAACTAGCTAGGATTACAGCCTAAGCCAGGTTTTACATCAAACTGCAGTGTCATAGTGAGACATAGAAATATATGTTCTCTAACGTCCGCAGTTCTTAGTTCTCGCTCAAAGTGATACCATGCCTATTTGTTGCCATGTTAGCCATGCTCAGCATGTACTAATAAGTTCCATGACTTTGGGTCATCTTTAATGTTGAAAGATTGTACCATCTGCTTTAAACCACCTACTTATCTGAGCTAATTAAGCTTTGGCAATAGATTATTAAAAAGTAGAAACATAAAGATCATCAAGTTACAACAACAGTTAAAAGGTCCCATCTAACCTCTTTCAACAACCAAGAATCAGTCCAATCTTCATCACCACTGTCACCACATTCAACGTCGATCACAGGTTTCTTGGAGAAATTGCAGGTGGTAGATACCTCGCCTAACATGCTTTTAACTTCATCAGCAACAACTGGGATCTCCAACAACAAGGGCCCCACCTCAGACCCACTGCAAAAATAATTGAATTACAAATATGAATGTAAAATAACTAAAAATGCTTGTTCAAAATGTTTGCATCACACAAAGCATGAATAAACAATCATTTTACTTCCAAGTTCCGACTATGGAAGAAAACTTGAATTACTAACCAAAAGGTTATGATCCTTATGAATGGAGCGGGATAAAACACATTTATATGAAGTTATAAATTGCCCATGAGATCTATAATGTGGGTGGCAAGCTTATTCTTCAACTCACAATGGTGGAACTGGAGTTCAGAAACATACGTCTCACTCTTATTAATGCAAACAAACGATAAAACTTACGTTAGAAGTTTTTCATTACAGGAAAAGAAAAAAAAACATTGCCAACTATACCAGTGCTTCATATAGGGACGCTCACAGACACGCCTGCCTTGCTTTATACAGTCCTCAATCCATCGATGATTCACTACGATCGTTTTAAATTTCCTGGCAAGTTCATATTTCTTCCCTTCAAATTTGCGACAGACCTAATCAAACAACCGAAAAATATACAGGATTTAGGTTACAAAATCACTAGGTTCTAGAAATAAGCAAAACTTCAAAATTGAAAAACATACCAAATGTGTGGTAGAGTGATTCATTGCTCCAACATAACTTGCACCAGATTGAGATATCAATTTGATAAGCTTAAATCTCTCTGATCCATGGTATCCGCTAACCGTAGCGACAACAGAGTTCATAATTTGGCCAAAACGCTAGACACAATCCTAAAAATTAAAGGTTTAGGGCTTGAAAAAGGGCACAACCTGGCTACAAATACAAAAGATAATTTATAAACCAAAACGACTTTCAGAAACCTAAATCGCACTCTAATTGAGAGGGATACCTCTTAAAGCGCCGCCGAGCAAGATCGTATGTCTAGCTGCCGCCGATGATGGTGGCGCAAAGGCCTAGCGGGAAGGTTGAAATTTTGAATCTGCTAGTAATGTCCGAGCATCTCCAACCATATAAAAAAAACACCAAAAACATCAAATATCATGCTTCATCACCACTAAAATAAAAAAATTAACTTTAATAACATTCTAAAAAACAGTAAATTTATAGATTCATATTAAAATAACATATTTTATTTATTATTTTCAATAATAATAATTATAATTTAAAAATATATATTATAATAATAAATAATTAGTAATTAATTTATTTAATAAAAAAATATCAAAATAAAAATAATAAATTACTAATTAATAAATTTTGCGTTACAAAAAAAATTAATTAATTTAACTATATGCTAATTTATATAGATGTATATCTATACTATATTATAAAGCATTAGATAAAAACTTTTAAAAACCATTTTTATGCATGAAGTACTGTTTATTGATGCATATTAGTTAAAATTCAAGATTACAAGTAAATTTTGCATAAGTACAACTTATTAAATTTCTATGTCTGAATTCGCATAAGTAACTGCTGATAAACATAATCAAATAGAGGATAAACATCTCATTTTAAAATATAAAAAATCTAAAATATAATTAAGATAATTATTGAGTTCTAACAGAATACTTAATTATTATCTTTATAAAAAAATTATTATTAAACCTAAATTAAGTAACGAAAAAATTAAATTATAATAAAAATTTTGAATTAAAAAATACACAAATAAAAACTTTTAAATAGTTAATTTGATATTAATATTGATATATTTTTTGTAAATTTTATATGATATTTTTAAATTTATATTTTATTTAAAAATAAAAGCATTATCGTTTTCTTAAAACCACATAAAATCGTATCATATCGACATAGATAAAAAAATAAAACGAAACATTGAAATCGAAATGTGTGTCAATGCATTGCACGAGTACCTTTTTAGTACATTTATATATATATATATATATAATTTGTCTTATATATAATTTATTTTATATAGAGAGATATATGTTAATTATGATTAAATGATATAAGATATATATATATATATATATATATATATATATAGACTTGGGATCATGTGAGACTAGCTTGTTTTCGTGAGACCCGTGAGACCAACATTTTACACTTGAAACTTCACAGCATTTTGCTGTGAAGGTAACTTTTTAAAACCTTCACGGTGTTTTTGCTGTGAAGGTTCGACTTTTTTTAAACCTTCACAGTGTTTTTGCTGTGAAGGTTACGTGTAAAAATGTGGTCTCACGGGTCTCACGAAAACAGACTGGTCTCACGTGAACTCAACCCTATATATATATATATATATACATATATATATATAGGGAAGGGTTCAAACGAGAACCCCTGTGATTTATAAGAACGCAAGAACAACCCAATAAACTCATATTGTGATAAAAAATAAAATTAAAAGATTTTTTAAATTAAAATTAAAATTTAAAAAGATTT